AGTAGCAAACGGACAGACTCCATGCGCGCTACTGGCGCAAAGACTTCCTCGAAGTCTATGCCCTCGCGCTGAACAAAGTCTCGGGCGACGAGGCGTGCCTTGTTCTTGACAATGGCGTCGAGCTCGTCTCGCTTGACCTTGTACACCCACTTCAGACTGATCGGACGGCATTATGGAGGCGGATCAACGAGCTGTCATGTCTCGTTTTTCTCGATCGCCTTCAACTCCTCCAGCATCGTCCGTCGCTAGTTTCCGTCGCGCTCGGCCAGCGCGAACCTGGGTGGTTCCTCTGCACTGACGAGCAGCAGCTCTTGGTCATTGAGCAGCCGACCAGCCAGTCCTGTGGGCCCTGTGCTGCCGACGATGTCGTCCAGCCTGCGGAACCGCACCTCCTCACCTTCGTGGAAGGCATCCACGAACTCAGTAATGTCACTTGGAGGTGAGGCGAACTCGATCAGTGTTGATGGAGTTCCCTGTTCCGCCTCAGTGCTCAGCACCCTGGTTGCAGTGCTCGGCACTACTTCTGGACAGCTCGGCACTACTCCGACAGTGCTCGGCACCACTGTAGGAGTGCTCCGCCTCAGTCTTGGAGTAGTCGGCATCACTGCAAGATCTCTTGGCTCCGCTACGGGAGTGCTCGGCACCTATCCTAGAGTGGTTGCCACCACTGCAGAACCTTCTGGCACCACTTCTGGTGTGCTTGGCATCCCTCCAGGAGTTCTCGGCACTCCTCCCTGAGTGCTCGGTATCCCTCCCGAAGTGCTCGGCACCACCCCAGGAGTGCTCGGCTCTGTCGCTGGAGTGCTCGGCACCTCTTCCCCAGTGTCTCCACCACCGTGGATGACCAAGTGCTCGATGACGAAGGTGCTGGTGAAGCTGTCAGCTTCCCCCGTGCTCGGGCTATTCCAGTCCCAAGCCACCTTCTCATCGAACACGACGTCGCGCAAGACAAGTACCTTGTCTCCGCGTGGGTCGTAGAGCCATACACCTTGGTACCCTCCGTGTAGCCCAGGAACACCATCGGTGTGCTCCTATCCTCTAGCTTGGTAAGGATCAGCTTTGTCTTCCTAACGTGGCCGATGCAGCTAAATGTTTGGAGGAAGGACACGCTCGGCTTGCGCCCATACCAAGCTTTGAATGGCATTTTACCCGTCAGGGCCTTGGCCAGAGCGCGGTTGAGGATGAATACCGCCGTGGTCACCGCCTCACCCCAGAACCTTGCTGGCATGCCTTTGGCCTTCATCATGGACAGAGCCATACCGACCATGGTCTGGTTCCGCCTCTCCACCACGCCATTCTGTTGTGGCGAGTATGGTGCGGTGTGGTGTCGCACCACACCCTGATCCGCGCAGTACGCAGCGAACTCTACCGAAGTGAATTCGCCGTCGCGATCAGTCCTCAGCACGCGGAGCTTCTTGCCGCTCTCGGCCTCCACGCGCATCTTGAACTTCTTGATCACCGCCGCCGCTTCGTCCTTGCTCGTCAGGAGTTGCAGCCACATGTAGCGACTGCAATCATCCACGAGTAGGAGGAAGTACCACCGACCACCATTTGTGGCTGGTGTGATCGGCCCGCAGAGGTCGCCGTGGATGAGCTCGAGAGCGTCTGCACTGTTAAGTAGGAGAGATTTAATGAGAGCAACAATGTAACCCAGTTTCATTCACTTAGCGTCAGTTTATGAGTGCCTCTCGTCTTATTTGGATCATGGACTGAGTACTTGTAATCCACTGCATATAAATGGAAGTAATCCCAAGAGGGATTAGCAAAGAGTTCTGCAACCCCCATTCATTGCTCTGTTGAAGACATGCAGCACACTTCTGAAATTTTATCTGCCGTGAAGGACTTTCCATGCACTTACCTTGGCCTCCCCCCTACTGTTCCAAAGCTGATTTGTTATCTCTGATTGATAAAGATGCAGATCACCTCCCAGGATGGAAAGCTTCTCTAATGAATAGAACTGGGAGTCCTATTTATGGTCCGGATGGTGCTGACAGCAACTCCTGTTTATCTTATGGGTTATCAAGGCCATCGACAAAAATGCAGTCTCTGGTGGTGCCAAGAACAAGCCAATGGAGGTAATTGTCTCGTGGCCTGGGAAAGGGTACAGCGTCCACTTGAATTCAGTGGCCTTGGTATTAATATTCTTAAAATAATGGGATGGGCCTTAAGCATCCATTGGTTGTGGGCACAAAAGACAGATCCTTTGCAACCATGGGCTGGGCTGTCAGTCCAAGTACTGCAGAATGCTCAAGCTCTCTTTAATGTGGCTCTGGACTGTATAGTTGGTAATGGTGAACAAATTCGGTTCTGGATGATCATTGGTTGCAGGGAAAGACAATGGCAGAATTGGCCCCTAACTTGCACAGGATGATCTCCAAAGGGGTTGTAAAGAACCTAACCGTACCTCAGGCGCTTTACAGTCGTGCCTGGGTGGCTGATATCAAGGGAGCTCTAACAGTAGTGGTGCTAGTTTGTACTGTTGGAAAGATCTCCCAATATGGTTCAGCCTTTTTCCAAGGATCTATCAAGTTTGGTCCCTGGAAAAGAATTTGGAAAAGCTGAGCCCCTCTAAAATGCAAGACGATGACAACGTGCAGGAGACGCAGAAGGCTGGAGGGCTGCCCGATATAAGAAGAACCTGGAGCACAGGATGAAGATTGCAGAGCTCAAACAGATATGAAACAGACCTGACATTATAGAGGTGCTTTCATCTTTCACATTGAGTGACTCTACTATCAGCAATTTGATTGCTGATCAACAACTGTTATGTTGTCAGTTCTGGACAATCTTATGTTTAGACTTTTGATCATTTATCTTAATCTCATGGTTACTTATGTTTTTTTTTTCATTTACAGTACCTGTCCCAAGGCACTGGTCCCAAAGAGCCAAACACACAAGTTCTTTCAGGTTTGTGACTTCCAACTTCTCTCATATTTGGTGAAATTAGATTGTGTTTTCCATGCTCTTCTCAAAGAGCAATTGGAGGGGTGGTGTCTGGGTGCACAACGTCCATATGGTTTCACGCTTCTGATACAGATACATAATTCTTCCACGGGTGGCTTTAACTAATTTCATCAAATCTCTACAACTAAAACATTCATAACTATTCCGTCCACAGCTGCGACACCAAAGCCGCTCCATGCGATCAGATGAGGAAGGCAACGCGCACTCGCTCCATGCGATCAACTCAATCCCCATAACCGCCACAGCAAATCAGGAAGGCAAAAATCAATTCCCGTAACAATCGTGATCAAAACGTGGACACTATCTTCGTGCGACATTTGTCATCTCATCCTGCCGCGCGCCCCTGCGATCCTGCTCGGCATCGGCAGGTGGGATGGCCCTTGCGATGCCGCTCCGCGCCGTTGATTTCGCGCCGCACCAAACCGACGAAAGGGAAGAAACCGGAATCTCAGGTGCCCAATCTCCTCCCCAAGTCCCGCACGCTCCCGATCTCTTGAACCTTCCTTCCCAGTCCATGCCGCGATATCTCCTCCCCTTCGGTCGACGACCGGCAGCACTCGCCCTCGCCGTGGCACCCGCGCTGTCATCGCCCTCACCATCGTACCTGCACCGTCGTCGCCCTCGCCGTCGTACCTGCACCGTCGCCCTCACCGTCGTACCCGCGCCGTCGCCCTCGCCAAACGGACAAGCCCTCGGAGGCGCCACCATCGGGAGAAGCTAGCCAAGCCTGAAGCGCGTCACATTTCTCCGCGCTCGCCGTCGCACCGGTGCACCCGCACCGTCACCCTCGCCGTCGTGATCTAGGTAGGGCTCGTCGTGATACTCGGGTCCTTTCCCAATGGCGCTCGGCCCCTTCTCCCCGGCCGTCAGTGGCTCGCGCGGCCCACTCTGGTTAGCGGTGATCGGACCCTTTCGTTCCGGTTGCATACCTCACCACAAATCCGCATCCTTTGGGTCTCATCCATGGATACCTGTCTCAACGCTGAAGAATAAGGCCGTCTCCTCCAAGCACGTGCCACATGCAACAAGAACTCGATGGGGAGGGCATGTTGTGGTTCCGGCGCTGCTGCTGCATGCACAAGCTCAACTGTTTCAGACTTGTTCTTTTACTGCATGACAAAACTTACACCATATTTCCACATGCATGATCTCATATGTACGTTAGTCAAACTTGGACGACAAAATTAAATCTATGTGCTATTACAAATTGCTTCCAGTTTATTAGAGAAAATTTATTCAGTGGGGTATGGAGGTATTTTGTTCACTTTCCACACTGTTTTTGTTTAGAGATGCGAATGTTCAGATATATATTATTTGTTTTCATGCTTTTACTTTTAAAATAAGAATTATTTTCTTAAAAAAACTCTTGTACTTAGAATCTTAAGATGCACCATGATAATGTTTTAATAGGACTACATAGGTGGATAATGGTTATGCATCGTATGGGATTTGGCAAATAACAGAATCATAATTAATAAGAATCATCCACGTGGAATTGAATAAGATGGAGTATATAAAAAAATGAGCAAATTGAAATAAGTAAGAGCACTGAAGTGAACCAGTGAGAGCTCACAGCTCTGCACAATTTTTGAAAGTAGAAGAACGAAGAAAACCAGAATTGATTGTTGGCCCATCTTGCTTCCTGCCAATCTTCAGTTGTACCTTGAAGACTAATGATACATGTTGATGTTTCTAACCATTCTTCTCCTGTGATGCAGGCAATGGTCGAGATTAACTTCCTCTCCAAGATAATTACCGTTCACCTTCATCAGATCTGAACTCGGTTTTAGCGAGACGTAGCCCGTTGGTAGCCTGAAATTAGTATCTGGTATACCATTTTCTCGATACCTTCACTATTTCAGCTTGTAGTTTGCTGTTTGAGTAGGAAAAGGACTTGCAACATTTATCCCACATCAATTCTATCTGAAGATATAGAGTGTTGTCTGAATGAGCTGTAATCAAGGTGTGTGCTGATGGACAGTGGTCCATGTATCTTCACAGGGTACATATTGTCCAAATTTTAGGCATGGAAGAACATGGAAATTGGAGGTGGTAATGGTAAATTGACCAGAGCCGTCATCGGCACCGTTGAGCTCTGGAACCCACGTACACCAAGTACTATGCTATGCTTAATGGAGCCGGCTGGTCGGAGTGCGAGTGGAAGCCGCTGTCGGAGGTGGTCGGCGACTGCGTCCAGCGCTGGTTCCAGGACGCGTACAAGGAGGCGCGCAAAGGGGACATCGCCAACCAAGTGCTTGTAGCTCAGATGTTCTTCTCGGGTTATGGAACCCCCAAGAACGAGTACAAGATATAGCAACGCACCTTGTTCAAAATTAGATATCTTTTTATCCAGGTTCCTTATTTAGTCATATGTGCTAGGTACATGGAGATTCGATTCAGCTTCCTTATTTACTTTAATTTATTATAGTGCCTGCTTTTCATAGTGATGATTTTCCTGTTTGGAAGATCAAACATGTAAATGGTGGCTTTCATGTCACTTTTAGGCATTTAGCAATAACTTTTGTGGATACATATTACAGAATGATGAAACTCATCAACCCTTTATCCAGAATAAATCCACACACTGTGGTGAGTTGCTTTCCCCCTCGCAATGGATGTCAGTTCATGGATATATGAATGGATCGATGAAGGGTGTTTATGTTGTTCCTGGAACCACCGTTCTTCAGTGTAGGTACGCCCCATCTCTCTCCCTCTAATTTTTCCTCTGATTTCCCTGATTTGGTCAGGAAGTTCTCTAATTTCAGGATTCTTCAGTGCACCCCCTCACAATTTGGTCCTGATTTCCCTGCCGGCCGTAGGTCCTGATTTCCCGCAAGTCTCAATTGTGCAGAATACATGTCTATTTTATCTGTCAATCTACCTGCAGAATACATTATGCTAATAGTGCATAGAAATGCTAACGAGAGCAACTTACTGAGTTGAACATATTGTTGTTCAGGTACTGTAGTTCCTTCTCTCTGTTAGTTCTCTGAACAATAGCTCTACAATTTTGCTTGACACTTTTCATCACCACAAGCAAGCGAGCAAGCAGCTGTGAGCTCTCTGCATCCAAACACTTGAAATAGCAGCTTGTGATCTGCTACAGTAAGCAATCCCGTCAAGCTATATGGTATTGCATAATTGTTAATGGCTTGTGAACTGATAGCATGTTAGTGATTAAACTTCTCTGATTTCTTCTACCCTAAACTGTTGCTAAATTTATAGAAAATGTAATTTACAAATATTTTATACTATGCTGCAGCTCTTGTTAATTTTGACAGGGCGGCAATACAATGCTAATTTTAAGTGCATGAATCTTCATTTTCAATCTCTTTTGGCATGAATCTTAATCTATCTCACTATTTACTTCATTTTCAAGAAACATATTATCTTTTTGTTTTTACCATAGCGTTAGCATTTTCACAATAAGAGCAAGATGACACGCATGCCCTGGTCCTTGGAACAGCCATCAGCCAGATCAGAGAGGGGGAGCAACAAAAATGGAGGCAAAGAAAAGGAATATGTTGCAGCGTTGTTGCCCTGTGGTGCTCGCTACTGATGTCTAACAGCCTAGGATAGACAAAAACAAGGATCCGAAGGAATGGATTCGCAAGGATGATTCCGTTTTCCTCATTGGTTGTTGAGATGGGTATCCTACAAAAATTATTAAGTACAAATGTTATTGAGATTCATTAAAGTATCCAGTTTTTTCAATTTTTTTATTTTATTTTTTCACTTTCTTATTTCTGAAGTCTAATATCTTTTAACACATAATAATGCATGGTCTTATTTCATTAGTTTGTGAATTTATGTTTCTTTCATCGGTTGATTTACTTTTCAGTTTTTTCTAGATGCCACCGTAGCATTAGTATGGACAATATCTACGATTTAACTATTTCTATATATTGCTGATGGTGAATCTTATCACAAACACTCAAGTGGATACTGTATTCTACAGTATATGTCTGTGTGAAATAGATCTAAAGCAACACATATTTATACGGTAAATATAACATACTTTGTTTTAAGGTTATATGAGAGATTTTTCAAGACATGGAGTATTACCAATGTGCCAGGAACTAATATATATATATATATATATATATATATATATATATATATATACTCAAACATTTGTATAGAATTGTATGAAGATGCGACGGAACTTATTCGTGGATTTATTGGCGTACGAAAGAAATGAATATTGGAGATTTCTTCCTACCGATATAAAATATTATCTTAGCCGTATCACGGAAAGGTCTATACAGTAGAGTTTGTGAGCCTGCGACGCTGCACTCTTAATCCGTGACTGTGTTAATTTCACGAATTTTTGCTTTTTGATTAAATGTCACTTTAACCTCGGTATTTAATTTTATAGTATTGTTATTTTATCGTGCGATCCGTATGTTTTTAGTACAAAAGTTTAGATGTTCCGTAGCAACGCACGAGCACGAACCTCTCTCGCTCTCTCTCTCTATATATATAGTACTAATTTATATTTTTCTACCTCATATGCACAATGTGCGGTTCACTGACGGTGATGGGTCCATGACCAGATCCACGGAGGCATGAAGTAAATAGACGGGTCCGATCCCACCGCCACCGTCGGGAGCTGGAGGTGGGTGCGTGGCACGGCGTTTCGGTAACAGAGCACCGAGGACCGCGGCTTTCTGCTATGACTCTGAGGTGAGGATAGGGTGGCGACGCCTGTTGGAAGCGACGAGAGCTAGAATGGAGCACTTTCAGGTAACAGAGGAAGCAAATGTAATATAGGATGACTTGTATTGTATCCATTTGCATTTGGGGTAACAGAGGAGGCAAAAGTAATATAGGATGACTTATCGAGATGTTAGTGTGATTTGATGTACTCGTTATGATATTATAATATAATTTCATTATCATTTCTAACATGTCTCGTTTCTACAATGGTAAATATTTACTTTTGTTCACTTTTGATTATGAACTTTGTGCTTTCTTTGATTCAAAGAAATTGGGTTGAATTATGTGTTTCAGTGATTCATGTAATTTTTCATATGTTTTATTACCTATACGAGTGTCATGGGATATTAGCTATACACTCAAGTGAGTACATTATTCTACAGTATATATCTGTGTGGAACAGACCTGAAGCCACACATATTTATACAGTGAGTATAACATACTTTGTGTTTAAGGTTTTGTGAAAGATTTTTCAAGACACGCAGTATTATCCATGTGATAGGCACTAATATTTACATATATACTCGAATCTGAGTACAGGGTGGTATCGAGATGCGGCGAAACTTATTCGTGGATTTATCGGCGCACGAAAGAAATGGATATCGAAGATTTCTTCCTGCCGACACGAAAAGTCTATACAGTAGAGTTTGTGAGCCTGTGACGTCGCGCTCTCCGTAACTGTGTTAATTATACGAACTTTGCTTTTTAGATTAAATGTCACTTTAACACCGGTATTTCACAATATTAATTTTATAGTATTGTTATCTTATCATACGATCCGTGTGTTTTTAGTATAAAAATTTAGCTATCCCGTAGCAACGCACGGGCACGAACCTAGTATGAGCTAAATTGGAGAAGTTGAGTGACCTAGAGATAAGAGCTCCATCTCAAATTTGACTTTTTTGGGTACATAACAATGATGTAACCAATGGCCTCCGACCTTACTTTTTTTGGCTCTTAATTAATAAAATAAACTTTACCTATTATGAAGGATGCACCTTTTTTTTTTATAAAACATTCAAAGGGAAGTATACCAATACTTAGCTTTGTCTGCATGTTAGATCACAAATGTTTTGTGCCGCTGCCATGATGAATTCAAGATATGGTGACTATTGTTATTTGCTCGAAAAGATGTTGAAAGGTTTTAGTTTGACCTGTAGACATATACCATGAAGTGTTCATGTATTTTATGTGCATGTTATTTTTTGGGAGAGATGTATCTCAGTGTAAGTTTTGTGTGACCGTGCCCATTGCAATCTAATTGGCCAATAACTAGTAAGATCAAAAGCAATTTATACCACTCTCCAAATGAATCTGCAAAATAACAACAAAAGGACAATTTGCTGTCATAAAAAGAAGGACAATTTGTGGTATTGTTTCAATTAGATGATACAAGTAACATTCACATTACCTCTCTATTACCTCGTAGCTAAATTATCTTTTGTTAGGACGAGTCCTTTTTGTAGATAGCACCAACATTGAGAGGAAGCTTTAATTTCCAAATGAAGCTGTTTCTTGGAATGACAATAAGGTCTATCAAAGCTCTGTACATAGATTGGACTATGAATTGTCTGTGCTTATGTTATTGTTATGCAAAAATCATCTAATGGCATTTTTATTGAAAAATAATTAATCAAATTATATGCATCTTCACAAAAGTGGTATTTGCCTCAATTTTAAAATATTTTTTCTGATGATGTTACTATTCTGTAGCAATTATAGCATATTATTATAACTTATAAGAGGAACAAAAGGTGATAATATAGCTTTCAAAGATTTGTTGACCAAAATATGGCTTACATTAATGAGGATTAAGGAGTACTTCAGTTTAATCATTGTACAAAATACCTGCAAGTACATGATCCTATGAATTGTCCTATCACATAGCGAAGATGGCACCAGGGATTGAACGAAGAAGCAGAGGCATATCTATCGGTGGCAAGAGGCAGAGCCTGCTCCAAAAATTCATCAGCAGCTCTTGTCGCTGCAGACCCTTGACGGCGTCTGGCCGCGCGGGCTGCAGGGGCCCACGCCGGCGTCAGTGAGCATCTTTACCACGTCTCTCATGGTCGGCCGGCCCGCCGGCAGCTTGGCGGTGCAAAGCACGGCGATCTTGAGCACCTTGAGCATGTCGTCCCTCTCCCTGGCCAGCACGGCGACCCGCGGGTCCAGGACGTCGTCGAGGCTCTCCGAGGCGAGCTTGCTGGACAGCCAGGACACGATGTCCCTGCCCTCGCCGAAGCGCGGGTCGATCGGGCTCCGGCCGGTGACCAGCTCCAGCAGCACCACGCCGAAGCTGTACACGTCCGTCTTCTCCGTCACTTTGAGCGAGTAGGCCAGCTCTGCGAACGTGAAAACCCCAGATGGCCAGTAAGTCTACGTGGCACGCAAACAATTGTGCAAAGGGTGTCAAATACTCAGATTAATACTCACCGGGCGCGAGGTAGCCATGGGTTCCGGCGAAGCAGCTGAACTCGGAGTCGGAGGAATCCTCGGCGACCTTGGCGATGCCGAAGTCGGCGATCTTGGCCTCGTAGTCCTCGTCGAGCAGGATGTTGGTGGACTTGATGTCGCGGTGGATGATGGCTGGCGTGCAGTCGTGGTGGAGGTACATGAGCCCCTTGGCCACGCCGAGCGCGATCTTGCACCGGCGCGGCCAGTCCAGCTCCGGGCGCCCGCTGCCCTTGGCCTCCCGCCGGAGCGCCTGGTGCAGGTTGCCGCGCGGCATGTACTCGTAGACGATGAAGTTGAGCTCGCCGCGCGACAGGCACGCGTGCAGCTTGAGGATGTTCCGGTGCCGGACCTTGCCGAGGATGGCCATCTCGGCGGCCATCACCCGCGCCGCGTTGCCCTTCCACAGCCGCTTCACGGCCACCACGCCGCCGCCGCCGCCGCCGCGGCCCTTGAGCTCCAGCCGGTACACGCGCCCCGTGCCGCCCGACCCGATCAGGTTCTCCTCCCCGACGGCGCAGATCTCGTCGGCGTCCAGCTCCAGCGGGTGGAACGACTCCAGCTTCCACTGCCCGTACCCGTCGCCGTGCTCCAGGTCCCTCTTCTTGAGCTCCTCGAGCTTGAAGCTCCGGTAGCTCACAAACAGGATGCCGGCCACGAGCAGCAGCGTCGCCGAGACAAGGACCAGCACCAGCACAAGCTGCGACTTCGTGGCGAGGCCGTCCTTGTGGCCGCCGTCCACGTTGCAGACGCCGAGGTCGGACCTGCCGTCAACGCAGAGGCCGGGGTTTCGGGCAAACGCCTGGCTGCCGCCGGCGAGCACCAGAAGCCCCGGCGGAACGTTCCCGGTGAGCTGGTTCGAGGAGAAGTCGATGGAGCTGAGCTTGAGCGCCTGGAGGCTCGTCGGGATCGGCCCGCTGAGCTCGTTGTTGGAGAGGTTGAGCGAGTTGAGCGACGACAGCAGCGACAGCGAGGCTGGAATCGGCCCGGACAGCGCGTTCTGGGAGACGTCGATCTCGACGAGCCTGATGCAGCCGCCGATGTCGTCCGGCAAGGCGCCGCTGAACTCGTTGTCCTCCAGGTGCAGCGCCGTCAGCTGCGACAGGCTGCCGATCTCCGACGGTATGGAGCCCAAGAAGGAGTTGTTGGACAGGTAGAGCTTCTGCACCTGCCCAAGCCGGCCGATTTCCGGCGGTACTGCCCCGCTGAGGTTGTTGTTCTGCAGCCACAGCTGGTTGAGGCTCTGCGCCTGCCCGATCAGCGGCGACATGGCTCCGGTGAACTCGTTGTCGGACACGTCGATGATCGTCGCCGCCGGGAGCCCCCACAGGCCTTCCGGGAGGTCGCCGGTGAACCGGTTCTTGTTGATCCGGAAGCGTTGCAGGCTCTTGCACGCCGCGTACTCCTCCGGGAACTCGCCGGAGAAGCCGTTCTGGAGAGCGAGAAGGAACTGGAGGTTGTTGCCGCGGCACAGGTACCTCGGGAAAGGCCCGACGAAGGCGTTCTCGGAGATGTCGACGCTGTTGAGCGGTGAGAACCGGCCGAAGTTGGCCGGGAACTCGCCGGAGAATCGGTTCTCGTAGATGGAGAAGCTCGTGAGGTAGCGCAGGTCGCCCCACTCCGCCGGGATCGGCCCGGACAGGTTGTTGTGGTAGAGCTGGATGACCGTGAACCCCGTGAGCGCCGCGAACGCCGCCGGGATCCTGCCGCTGATCTGGTTCTGGGACACGTCGATCTCCCGCAGCTTGGTCAGTTCCCCGAGCTCCGGCGGGAGCTCGCCAGCGAGGTTGTTCTTGTACAGCTCGATCTTCCACAGGTTCCGGAGGTTTCCGATGGCTGGCTGGATCACGCCGGCGAGATTGTTAATGGACATGTCCAGCGTCTCCAGTGCGGTGAGTCCGAAGATGGAGTCTGGTATCACCCCCGTCAAGCTGCTGCCCGCCAGGTACAGGTACGTCAGGTTCCTGAGGTTGCCGATCCTCGGCGGCGTCTCCCCTGGGTCGTAGCTGTTCATGCCGACGCTGAGCGTGGTGAGGCCGGACAGGTTGCCGACCCACGCCGGGAAGCGCCCGGTGAAGGCATTGTTCTCGACGTCGAGGGCCTGGAGCGCCGTCAGCGCGGACAGGTCCGGCAGCTCCCCGGCGAGGCTGTTGTAGGACAGGTTCAGGAACCGGAGCTGCGTGCATTTCGCCAGCTCAGGCGGCACGGGCCCCGAGAGCGAGTTGGAGTCGAGCTGCAGCCGCGCCAGGCCGTGCAGCGCCCCGATGGACGGCGAGATCCCACCGGAGAGGTTCATGCTCGACAGCGAGATCTCGGTGACCTTGCCGGAGCCGGTGCTGTCGTCGTCGCACCGGACGCCGAAGAAGCGACACTTGGAGGTGGCGTTCGTCCATGACACGAGGTGGTTCAGAGGGTCGTTCAGCCCGGCCTTGAACTGGAGGAGGGCTTGTGTTTGGGAGTCGATTTGGCAGGTGCAGCTCAGGAAGAGCGAGAGGAGTGTGATCAGATTCAGAGGGAGGCAGGCAAGGATTTGTCCTCTCATGGCAAGCAGATGGTGTTGGCAGATTGTCTGAAGAAATGGATCACATGGGTTCTTGTGCTGTCCTGAATGTCTGAGATTCAGAAGACCTAAAAATGGAAAACAAGAGATATGAGTCATGGTTATAGTTCATTAACCATCCAATTTCTTGGTGATAAAGTATTAGATGAGTTGAAGCGACAAAAAAAATTCAAAACTTCTGTTCATCTTTTTTGGACTAGGCTAATGTCAGCCTAAAAAACTGCATAGGTGGCCACAACTATATGCACAAACTGGTAGGTGATTTGGACACCCCCAAGGCCCCAAGTTGGTTTCCTATGTAAACATGTTCAGAGACGATGACCTGCCAGCTCCCACCTTCCACTGCCTCTGTTATGGACCTTAGTTCATTTGGGGTAGGGAGGATTACCATTGCCAGGAGGAAGGCCGAACAAAGTCGACGTGGAGGGGGACCAGAGTATTTGGGGGAATTGGGTTGATTGTTTTTTCTTCATTGCTTGCCCATCCAGAGATGCTAATCGGCTTACATAGCCTCACGGCTAGCTATTCCACCGACTAAGCTCCTTCACTCAATGCTAACCGCTCCTTCACTCACTGCTAGCCATTCACCGCTAACCCTGCTAACCATTCACTAACTAAACCTCCGGCTGGACTCAGCCACCATGCGCTGGATGTGGTCACCATGCACTCCTCAGATTGAGGACAGCAAGCTGGACTCAGCCACCAGCGCTGGACGCATGCGCCTACAGCAGCCCCACATGACAGCCTCTACCCTGTTCTGTTGCCTTCATTTCACCACAAACACCAGGAAATGCAATAGATTGCCTCATGGAAGCCACACCACACCACACCACACATATTCACCTCCACCAAGTTAACCGGGGGGTGAAAAGGCAGAGCACTCACCAGAGATGTATAATGGGATCAGATGATGGAATCCACACACAAGGATAAAAAGAAGATGGTCAAAGCAATTTCAGTGGGAACACACTTTGGCACTTAGTATTTTAGTGAGCCATCAGTGTCTAACATGGGAAATGGCCCAAAATCATGGTGCTTAGCTGGATAACTAGTGAAACCTTGAAGCGACACGATATGAGGGACCTGTGTAAAAGAGACAGTGTTATTGGGGAAGGATGTGATCCAATTTTGGCATCAGTTCTTGGCGGTATGGCCAAGAAAAGAAGAAATTGACCTAACATGTTTTGCCCCCATGACTGAATTCTAAAACGATAACGGTAAAGAATAATTATCGGTGGTAGCTTTTGATCTTGCTAAAGAAATGTTTTTGGGTTCTAGCTCCACTGACTAATTCTCCAGAGTATCATGTACTCTCTCATTGCTGCATAAAACGTGACAACTAGTGTACAGCTTTTTTTGTGGTATATGACCATAGTTTTGAAATATAATGCATGTTGGAATCCTCATTCAGTATCTATAGATTGATTCTTACTTATCATGTCAAATAAATACAAGATTGTAGGTGTGTGCTTAGAAGGCTACATCAAGAAAATAAACCATAGCTTTCAATAAAGTTAATAAAAATGCATTCATTTTTCTGTCATTGACAAGAGCGGGCATATATTGATAGAGAATAATATATATGCAGTCACTTTTCATGAATATATCGAAACTCAAAATTGCTCGGCGAGTGTGAAGATTTGGGAAGAGTTTACACCTCACCTATCAATTTTACTGTTTCTTTACACTTTACTAAAAATCCCACAAATAAGAGCTTTTGTTACGGCCAACTCGGCTGGGAAGGGAACGGAGGCGATAGGGATAAGAAGTGGCAGAGGACGAACGAACAGGACGCCGGCGAACTGGTGGCGCCGTGGTCGGCGCGTCGACGAACGCAACGCTACGGAGTTACCGTGAACGGTGTGCTGGACGCCCCAGGGAGACGAGGTGTCTCAATCCCAGGCTAAATCTTCATTAAGGAATTGTCTAAGCCTTATAGGCTCCCTTTGTAACAAGATGAAAACAAACTCCTAGTTTTACTCTCCTGATCTAACAACCTCAAGCAAGGCGCGGTTATCGCGCTCAATCCCGCGCCGCGCGCGGACGCGGCCTACATGCTTGCGATCTCGCTCAGCCACTTGCCTTCCTCTTTCTCTGGTAGGTCTGGCCCACCATAACATCTCTCCCCTCCTCGGGAAATAACTCGTCCTCGAGCTGGAAGTCTGGATGCGCCGTGCGGAACTCCTCAGCTTGCACCCAGGTTGCTTCGAACGCCGGCATGTCAGCCCACTGCACAAGAATGTACCACTCCCCGTGGCGGAGACTGGAGCGTAGCACGCGTTCCGGGTGCATGAGCGGCCGTCCATGGCGAAGAGGAGGAAGGGCCGGGACGTCGGCCGGCGGAGTGCCGCAGAACGGCTTGAGCACCCCAACGTGGAAGACGTCATGTATACGGGTGCCCTCGGGAAGCTTCAACCGGTAGGCCACCGCGTTCACCTGTTCGATGACTTGGTACGGGCCGGCGAACTTAGGCCCGAGCTTGCCGCGACCTCTAGGAACCAAGGTTTCGTGGGAGGGTGTAGAAGGCGAAGCCACACCCAGTCGCCTACTGAGAACGTGAGCGCGCGATGCTTGGCATCGTAGGAACGACGAGCATGTTCTTGTGCTTGGAGCAGGCGGGTGCGGACCTCCGCGAGAAACTCATCGCGGTTGGCCAGCATCGCGTCCACCGCGGTCGTGTGCGCCCTCCCTGGCGTGTACGGCAGCAGGTCCGGGGGAGGACGGCCGTATACGACGGCGAACGGCGAAGTGCGAAGCGCGGAGTGGAAGGCCGTGTTATAGCAAAATTCGGCCCATGGAAGCCAGTCGAGCCAGTCGCGTGGGCGGTCGCCGGTGAGGCACCGCAAATACATTGCGATGGCCTTGTTCACCGCCTCGGATTGGCCGTCCGTTTGGGGGTGGAATGACGTGCTGAAGCGCAGCTGCACTCCCGCCTGGCGAAAAAGATCGCGCCAGACGCGACCGGTGAAGACGGGGTCGCGGTCGCTGACGATGGAGTCGGGGAAGCCGTGCAGCCGAACGATGTCGTGGAAGAAGGCGCGGGCTACCGATGCAGCAGTGTACAGGTGCCCCAATGCGATGAAGTGCGCGTACTTCGAAAACCTGTCCACCATAGTGAGGATGATGCTTTTTCCATGCACCATGGGCAGAGCTTCGATGAAGTCAATGGAGATGTCCACCCAAACGCGGGATGGCACCGGCAGAGGTTGAAGAAGGCCGACAGGGTGGAGCGCCTCTGTTTTGTTGCGCTGGCATGTCGCGCATGACATGACGAAGTCACGAACGATGCGCCGATCGTGCTCCACGTAGAACTCCACGCGGAGGCGCTAGAGCGTCTTCTAGATCCCCTCATGCGCCCCGGTGTGAGCCAGCCGGAGCACGTCGTCGAGCACCTGCGCCGTGGCGGGCACGAACACGCGGCTATCGTGAAGGATGAGGCCGCCGTGTACCCGCCAGGCGTCACCATGGGAACCCGCCGCGATGGCGTCCCGGCGTGCGCGCAGGGCGTCGGAGTCCTCCAGCTCGGCCCGTAGGTCCGTGAAGAGCTGGAACGCGGGGACGGACAGCGTTGCTAGGGATGGCGCTGAGTCTGGGAGCGCGGCCAGTAGGGGCGCCTCGCCATCACGCCGCGATAAGGCGTCGGCGACGACGTTGAGGCGGCCTTGACGATACTCCACCTGGAAATCATATCCGAAAAGTTTGCTAACCCAGTGATTTTGTGGGATCGTCGATAGGCGTTGGTCGAGGAGGAACTTCAGAGCATAGTGGTCGGTACGGACGACGAAAGCGCCCCCCTAGAGGTAGGGCCTCCAATGCCGGACCGCCTGCACCAAGCCTATGAGTTCGCGTTCATATGCCGCGGACTTGAGGTGGCGTGCGGTGAATGGCCGGCTGAAGAAGGCGATCGGCCCGTCGTCTTGGTGCAGCACCGCGCCAAAGCCGGAGCCAGAGGCGTTGCAGTCGACGACAAAGTCGCGGGTGAAGTCCGGCAAGTGGAGGACGGGCGCTGCCGATAGCGCCGCCTTCAGCTCGCCGAAGGCCGTGGACGCGGCATCGGTCCACTGGAAGCTGTTGTTCCGCAGCAGCTATGTGAGTGGCACGGCGATGGCGCCATAGTTGCGGATGAAGCGTCGGTAATAGCCGGTGAGGCCCAGGAAGCCGCGCAACCCCCGGGTTGATCTTGGCTGCGCCCAGGCCTGGACCGCAGTCACCTTGGAGGTTTCCATGGTGACACCGGCCCCCGTGATGACGTGACCGAGGTAGTGCACCGATGGCTCGGCGAAAGAGCACTTGGAGCGCTTGATGTGGAGGCGGTGCTCGCGAAGGACGTCGAGGACGGTGCGGAGCTGCTGCAGGTGTTCTATCCACGTTGTGCTGTAGACGAGGATGTCATCAAAGAATACCAGTACGCACCGGTGGAGGAATGGCTTGATGACGAAGTTCATGAGCGCCTGGAACGTCGATGGCGCGTTCGAGAGCCCGAACGGCATGACGAGGAATTCGAAGTGGCCATGGTGCGTCCGGAATGCCGTTTTTGCCACGTCGTCGGGGTGGACGCGCACCTGATGGTAGCCTGATCGGAGATCAAGTTTGGTGAAAAATTTGGCGCCGTGTAGCTCGTCAAGCAGTTCCTCGACGATAGGGATGGGGAACTTGTCCTTCACTATCACCGCGTTCAGCGCCCTGTAATCGATGCAAAACCGCCATGACGCTTTGGCTTTCTTGACAAGGAGGACGGGCGCCGAAAATGGGGATGTGCTGATACGGATGATCCCCCGTTGGAGCATCTCTTCACACTGCCTCTCCAGTTCGTCCTTCTGGAGTTGGGGATACCTATATGGCCGGACGGCGACTGGATCGGTGGCCGGCTTGAGGTGGATCCTATGATCGCACGGTCGGGCCGGTGGTAGGCCCGTCAGTGCTGCGAAGACGTCGTCGTAGGTGTCGAGGAGGCGTTCGAGCAGTGCCCCCTTGGTCCCCTT